AGCACCTTTGACAATCCCAGCAGTTTGCGACCTTCTCCCATCGCCGATGCAATATCGTCATGCTGTTATCAATACATTCGTTCATGTTCATAAATCAGTTGGCAAGGTAATTTATGATTTATAAATTTTAAAGAAACGATAAATGGCTTTTGATCAAAAATACAATAATTGGCCAGCGCACGGGCTGCCCGTGCGAAAATGCGTTTTTTGCATAGCTCCCCGCAGATTTTTGCTGCCAACGGCACCGGTTTTTCCGGCAGATGCTTCTAGCTAAAAGAATTTCAGACTGGCCGCCAGGACTGTCAGGAAACATCCGTTCAAAATTCTAGCCGTCTAAGCTTCTCAGGTTCCCGAGTTAACAACTTACGGATAAAAAAGTTTGGCGACCCCGCACTTAAGTACCACGCATACCGGGGGCTGGGCATGAGATGAATGAGACTCAGGTGGACGGGGAATATTCTTTCAAAATTACAGTCTTCTAGCTTTTCAAATTCTAGAGTCAACAGTTTACCCGAAAAAAATTTTGGCAGGGCCGTGTGTGGGTGTCACACGGGTAAGAGTGCCCATTTTGAGGGCCCGTACATGCACGTAGATTAAATTCCCAAAGTTTCAGCCCTGTAGCTTTTAGAGGTCTTGAAATGAAAAATCGGTACAGGCGTACACACAAACACACAGGCAACCCCTCGTCAATATGTGTTTTCTGCATTGCATAGCTGCAGAAAACGCATAAAAATTTTGAATCCATTTATGAACACCTTTGAATGACTGTGAGAATCAGCCATGTCATACATTATAAAAAATATTTTGTCCGAAAATACGTACCTGTATGTTTCAGTTGAACGAAAGTGAAATGAAACGTGGTCGTCGTGTGATGGCATTGACCCCGAGACATTTCCTCGATTTTATCAAGCATTACATCAACGTTTTCCACGAAAAAAGACGCGATTTGGAGGAGGAAAAATTGCATTTGAATATCGGCCTGAACAAGGTCTGTTTTTATACCTTACACCCATTAGTATAGTTGCTGTGATTTTTTACTTTAAAGCAAAATTACTTTAAAAAAAAGCATCAAATAGTCATACGGTTCAGAGCGTAGATTATTTTGACAAAAGAGGGTAAATTAATTTTGGTCCTGGCCTGTTGTGATTTTCGGATTTTTTTTTTCATTTTTTTGTGAGGGTTGTGAGCATTTGGCAAAAAGCCAAAGATATTGTAAAACGGATGTGAGAAAGAAGCACGAACATGAAAAGTTGAAATCTCAAGCAAAGCATAGATGAGCGCGAAAGCTTAGTAGACAATTAAATGAGTGGATTAAGAGTGGAGGGAAGAGTGGATTAAGTGGATTAAGAGTGGATTAAGTGGATTAAGTGTGGATTAAGTGTGATAACACGATCCTTAGTCAACGTCATGTTCCGCCGTTACTTCGCTGATGTCGATTGTCTTTTTTTTTTAGATTAAAGAAACTGAAGAGCAAGTTTTGGAGTTGCAAAAATCGTTGACTTTGAAGAGCAGCGAGTTGGAAGTGAAGAAAGCTGCAGCAAATGCAAAATTAAAGGTAAATTTGGATAGGAAATTTTGTCCTTCTTTTTCTAGGCATCTGAAAAAGTCGAATTTTCACTTAATCGGCCAAAAAAATCTTTTGCAAAATAGTTCTTGCTTTTAAATTTTTTTTTTTGAAATCATTTTAGATTCGGCCAGATCCATTATAACTTGAAAATAACTTCTTTTGTCTTATGTTTTTTACAGACTATTTTTTTTTAATATTCAGATTACTGGTCTTTATTTTGTTGCATTTGGCTGTGAAAAAATGAGTGATTACGGATAACTTGGGAGGTGATACGTGGTTTCGGAGTCTCAAGAAATTTACTGAAATAGAAATGGCTTAGTTGTAATAGCATTTTTTCGAATAAATTTAACAGGAATATGCATTTTTTTTCGATTTTTAGGAAATGCTCTCCGACCAGCAACGAGCCGAAAAAGAGAAATTGGCTAGCGAGCAGCTACAGAAGGAACTTGCCGAATCGCTGGTTGAGATTGAGAAAAAACGCACAGAAGTAGAGAGGGATTTGGCGCAGGTGATCAGCGATGTTTTGTTTTGTTATAAATTTGCACTTCTAGAAATTTTGTGGTAATGTAACGGGAAGGAAGACGGGAGGCTTGAAGCTGTGGAAAAGGCACGCTCAAATTAATAAACAGCCCTTTATTGGTAAAGAATCACAGAATCAAAAAACTTAGGAAAACAAACAGCAAAAAAACCCCGTCCACATAGAACTCAAAGATTTTAGATTCAGTCCCCAGGTGTGCTTGGTTCCCACGTATGGCCCCGTGAGCGTTCCTGGCGCGGAAATCGCTAATTCGGGAACCGGGAAAGTTGGAGAGCCGAAATTTTCGAAGAATGTTCCCAAAACAAATACAGGCAGCAGCTCTAAGCTGCCACCAGACATACTGGAGGGGGGAGCAGCAGCAGCAACTATATCTTGACTGCAAAAACAATCAACATTTCATTTCTAAACCAACACATTAAATATCACGGAGGAGGGAACTCGAGTCAGGAGACGGGACATTTGCTTATCACAAGGAATCGAAGGGCAACTGGACAACGCGAAAGGGTTTTAGCCACCAACTTCGTTTTCTTGCTGCTAGCACCTTTTTCCTTTTGCAACAGTAACTCACATCGCAGATGATCGCCATGTTTTTATACTTTGTCGCATTAGCGTTTTTACAAAAAGTAACTCTCCGTCTAATGTTATTTTGATCATGTAGGTGGAGCCAGCCGTGGAAGAAGCGAAACTGGCAGTCAAAGGTATTCGGAAAGCACAACTTGTTGAAGTGCGATCGATGGCCTCGCCGCCACAACCCGTCCGATTAGCGCTGGAATCAATATGCTTACTGCTTGGCGAAGTTTGTTACCAAAATTTAAAAAAAAAAAAAATTCTTTTTTTTCCGTTTTATACTTTGGCCGAAGCATTCTTTCAATTTTTAGAATGTTGGTACCGATTGGAAAGCAATTCGAGGTGTAATGGTGAAGGATGATTTTATGCCGAGAATTCTTAACTTTGATACGGATAGTATCTCACCGGAAACGCTGAAATTGATGGAGAAATATATCCGCAATCCGGATTGGGACTTCGAAAAAGTATGACTTTTTGTTTTTTTTTACTTACTCGTTGATGAATGTGATTAGGTATAGGAGCAATAATATTTCATATATTTGGGTTCGCCCGTGCCAGTTTTTTCAGTTTTTTGGGGTTTCAGTGGTTCTTATGCATTCAAATAATTTATAAATGCGCAGGAAAAATGGCACATTTAAAAATGCATGCATACACCCACACGCATCCCCACGCACATCCACTCACACATACACATACATCCACCCACACACATCCATCCACCCGTACACCCACCCACACACACACATTCACCAACACACATCCATCCACCCACACACACACCCACCCACACATCCATCCACCCATACACTCACCCACACACACACACACATACATTCACTTGATAAGGTGTTGGTGAATGTACAATATCTATGACACCCTCGGTTCACAAATCCGTAACCTAATTTCAGATGTTGCTAGACGCAGTGGAATTTCCTGTAACTTGTGTTTTAATCAGTTGCAATTCATGATGCGACTCTCCAGCTTTACATTTGGCAACTTTTCCAGTTGCTTTGTCCTATCGCGTAATATATCAAATAGTGATTAATGGTTTTTGCTAAAAATAGATTAAAGATCAACTGCGTTACTATGACGCATTACTCCTGTCCCTGGTTCAAACTTTATCCACCCTACCCTCATTGAACTTTCGATCTTTGTCCCCTGGGATATAAAAACACTCCTCCCAATCGCCGGGATCTCCACTACCAATCTTCAGCTGCGACTTACTGCTATATACTAATATTCCTATTTTGGGGAGCTTCGGCTCCCCTGAGCCTCACCTACTTTTTATGCCTTATTCTTTTACTTCACTGTGTATAATAAACATGCATATAGGACGCGACGTGTTACACATACACACACACACACACACCTACAAACGGGGCACACACTAGTCCAATAATCTACCATTAGCGTCGCATAGTCCTGTGCTGCATCGCCTGGCGGTCAGCCTGCTGATGGTAGTCTTAACGTCCATTTCGTTTCCTGAAGGGATTACCAACTCAGTATTTTCCCTGGCAAGAGCAGTTAACAAGAATTTACCTATTTTGAACTGTGTTTTTTTTTTTCGATGTTGCAAATTGTGTATGATTATTTGAAAGATTTGCACGCATTTTTATGCGTTTTTTTGCAGCTATGCAATGCAAAAACGCATATTGACGAGGGGTTGTCTATGTGACGAGGGGTTGTCTGTCGCACACTTTCATCTCAAGACCTATAAAAGCTGCAGGGCTGAAATTTGGGGAACTTAATCTGCATGCACGCGCCGGCCCCAGTCCCCGAAACTGGCGTCATCACCCGCGTGGCACCCGCGCACTGGCCCGCCAAAATTTTTTCTGGGTAATTTTCTCGGGGGTCTGAGAAACTAGAACGCTAAAATATTAGTGGGATGTTTCCCGTCCAAATAGGTGATAACTTAGGAGCCAGGAAAGCTGGAAAGCTGGAATTTTAAGGCGGTGTTTCCTGCCACTTCTGGCGGCCAGTCTTAATTTGTTCAACTAGAAGCATTTGCCGAAAAAACCGATGCCGGTAGCGACAAAAACTGCGGGAAATTATGCAAAAAACGCATCTTCGCACGGGCAGCCCGTGCGTTGGCCAATTATTAATATATTTGCAGGTAAATCGAGCTTCTTCTGCATGCGGCCCAATGGTGAAATGGATGAAGGCGCAACTCCTGTACTCGGACATGCTTCGAAAAGTGGAACCGTTGAGGAATGAGTTGTTGCGACTGGAAAAAGATGCAAAAGTAAAGAAAGCAAAAGGGGAAGACCTGAAGAAAACGATTGCGCAGTTGGAGCAGAGCATCGCCGCCTACAAAGAGGAATATGCCCAATTGATTGGCCAAGCTGAAGCAATCAAAGCCGATTTGGCAACT